CTCTCTCTCTCTCTCTCTCTCTCTCTCTCTCTCTCTTTCTCTTTCTCTGTGTGTGTGTGTGTGTGTGTGTGTGCGTGTGTGTGTGTGTGTAGTGATCACATACCATTCCTCTTTCCCTTCACCAGTGTCCGAACCTCCTCTCAAGAATTGTCCTCCCCATTCTCCCTACCCTCCTCTTTGCCCTCCCCTCTTTTTTCGTTATCTTCCCTGCCCTTGCATTGTCGTAGTCCTCGTTCCTCCTCTGCCTTCATTCTCCATCCTGCCTCCATTGTTTTCGTCGTCAAGAATCATCCTCCCCTACCCTCCTCTTTGCCCTCCCCTCTTCTTTCGTTCTCCCCTGCTCTTGACTTGTCCTGTGAAGGATGCTCTATCACAGTTGCTTTATTACGGTCCCTCCTCCTACCTCCATCCCCGCTCCTGCATCCATGACTACAGTCCTCATGTATGAAGGTCGCTCTATCATGGTCTCTCCGTCGCCCTCCCTCCTCCCACCTTTATTCCCCCTACTCCATCCATTGTCGTAGTTCGCCTCCCTCCTCCTCTGCCTTCAGTCTCCATCCTTCTGTCATCGTTCTTTCCACATATTCTTCACTTTTCTGTTGATTGTTGGTCGGACTCTGCCATCTTTGAAATCGATTATTCTCAGCCTTCTTCCCTTGATCGCTCCTATGCCCCCTTCCATCGGTCAGTCCTCTCAATACTTTACCGGGCCCTCCCGCTTGTGAGGGGTTAGCTCCCTGTCGATTTTGGTCGCTGTTCTTTCATTCTGCCCTTATCTTTGCTTTCGTTTTTTCCCTGGCCTCTTCCCATGGTTCCTCCAGCGACGTCTTTTCTTTCCCATGCTTCCCTGCACAGGGCTCTCCAGATTACCTGGTGTGACATTCGGAGCAAATCCCGGATATTCAAGCGTATCTGCCTCCTCTTTTCTGTCTTTTTTCTGTAAGTAGAAAAAGGGGGTAAGGGGGGTAGGTGGCGTGAGCTGAAAATGGAATACTGCCTGAATAAGAATGTTCATATAGCTGGTTTGTGGTCCATACATAAGAAGGTAGCATTCCAGGCTAGGTGGGTAGGTAGTGGGAGGCATATTGAGAGACGAATGTAGAGGTTCAAACGGTGTGAAAAAAAAAGCCAGTGCATTGTAATTGTATAGACTTACAGTGTAAAGCTTTTGGCTGAGGATGGTATTGGAACTCCTGGCGAGTTTTTTGACGTCCATTATTATCTGTTGTAGATCCTCGCGAGGGCCCATTTGGGACATCCACCATGACAAGAAGGCCATTTTGTCCAGTGCTCCCGACCTACTACCTGAAAACCTCTACAAACCCCCTTTTGTGGACCGTGCGAGTTGTTACGATCTGATGGCCCAGGCGGACGATTCTGAGTGGAGGAGGAAAAGACTAGTAGTGTATACAGAAAGTCCACTGGTAGCTTAGGACATTACAGCATATGAGTATGTCAGGCAGCTGGAACAGCCCCAGATTTCGTTTGTAGACAGGCATCAAGAGAATTGTGCTGCAACAGTGAGTTAGAGGGAGAGCAGACCGGGCAGAGGGGGATGCTCGTCACTGAGTGATTCAAAGTTGAAAAGAAAAAAAAAAGAGGAAGAGAAGGCTCCACAGCAAGGAGATGTGAGAATGAAAGGAAGTAGAGGTCTTCCCAAAACAGAACTTGATGGAGGTCATTGCATGGCAGGTACGAGGTAGGGACGCTAGAGGGAGTGGTGGTGGGAAGGAGAGATTCTGAAAGAGTTGACGCAAGGGGGAAGAGGTCCTTGCGCTTAGTCAGCTATTCCTAACAGTGGCATACAGCTGGCATCTTCTTTGATGATTGCTGTTGATCGCTGACTGGAAAAAAAGGAACTCCTGGCGAGTCCAAGATAAAGGTTAGAGAGAAGAAGCGAGACCACTTTTCTTCCACCATTTGATCGGGACTTGCACAGGTTTGATGGAATGCGATTTTCATCAGACTCCTCCTTCTTGGGCGTAGTTGTGAAACCAGTGTCCCATCCTTGAGAGCTCTGTCATTAACTTATCTTTCGCCTTAGAAAAGGAGTTCAGTCCCATCTGCTGAACAGTGACTTTCTTCTTTGCTATGATGATAGGACGGAGAAACAGGAAGATAGGCAGGCAGGGGGTGGTGCAGGCACATGAAGAGGTGGAGTGATGCACTCACACACGTAAGTAAGAGGAAGATGGGTGGAAGAAAGAGACTTGAAGACTTCAGTTCCCTTTCTTGACGCTGCCACTTTGTAGCCTCCCTGTCTCTTTTATGGTGCTGGTATTCTATGTTGAATCCTTTATGGTAGTTTTATTCATGTGCTGAATTGTGCATGATGGTTGTACGAATGTTTGTGCGGAATGCAGGATTCTGGCTTCGCTTATCTTTAGCTTTAAATACTAGTGCATTCAGCACAAACACGCATACAACCATGGTGTGGCTTTGTAGGAGGAAGTGCAGGTGTCCGAACGGGCCTGGCTTGCAAGTCCGGACGGGTGAATGCAGGTTGAAGGAACAGAAATGGAGTGGCCACCTACACACAGCATCGTGTTACCTAGTCGCTTTTGGTAGGCATAGCACCGTATCTTTTGGTCAGGTGGGACAGGGCCTGCGCAGTCAATCCCCTGTAACACGGGTGATCAATACTGGCAGGAGACATAGTGAAAATCAGTTCTGAAGAGGTTCTGAAGATGTGCGCAGTGGGACAATGGACCCACTTTCCAGCAGGTGCTGCTCCCCATCAACAGATTGGAGCAACCAGGTGGCCAAAAAAAAAAAAAAAAAAAAAAAAGACATCCTGTGGTACCATTCAGCCACCTGGCAGGTACTGGTGTCACCTTTGGAAATGATGAAGAGGTTATTAAAATTTGCAACTCTGTGGATACATCCTTGCCTGTGATAAGCAACCGGACCGATGCCCCCCAGAATAGAAGGGCCTGTGTTTTTGGTATTTAAAAAAAAAAAAAAAAAAAAAAAGTAATAAAAATTTGGTTTAATTTGCAAAAAAAAAAAAGAAATAAAAATTGCAACTCTATGGATACATGTGCTTGCCGGTGATAAGCAACCACACTGATGCCCCCCAGACTAGAAATGGCTATGTTTAACTTTTTGGTGAAAAAAATTCAAAAAATAAATAAATAAAAAATCACACTGTCGTGTTGGCGTATGTCATTGTGGCAGGCATCTCAGCTGTTCCAGGAGCTGGAAACGGCGAAGTCGAAATTGGCTCGTGCAGAGGCGATTCTCTCGAAAGCACCAGGTGAACCCCGACCAAAACACCGAACAGGTCCTCTAGGACTGATTGGTCCGCAGGTCGACAGCATTCAGTACTGGACTAAAGAGATAAAGGATATCGGAAGCAAATTAAGAGCAGAGCAGCAACTGGCAGCGGTTGAGAAGGGCAGGCCAGCAGCAATTGCTTTCTTCAACAGCCGAACAGCAGCTGTGGCAGCATCTCAGACTGTTCATGCAAAGGCCGCTGAAACCTGGCAAACATTTCCTGCCCCGGAGCCGCGAGCGATTATATGGGAGAATTTGGGGTTCCGCTACTATGAGCGAACGGTGCGGCGGGCCGTTGTACATTTCGCCACATTCCTTATTATTGTCTTTTACATGGTAAAAATCTCGAGAACTTTCACTAGAGAAACCTCCTTCCTGATCGAAATACCACATTTACTTCCGTTTTTTTTCATCAAAAACAACAAAAAAAATAGTAGTTCTTGTTCAATAGCACTAAAGCAAAAGAATATATAATATTATATATTATATTCGCAACAGTCTTCATTCACAATCAGTTTCACACAGAACGTGCTTCCTCAATGAAATATAAGTTATATAACCTCTTTTCAACACTTCGATTCCCAATCGAGGTCATTCTCCTGCCTGCTATGGCCCTTTTTGGTAAATATGCACTTCTAGCCACACAGTTCTTCGGGCCTATTTCTGAGCACATTTCTGGGCAAGCTTAACTGAAATTTATAGATACAAGTTTTCTCTATTGCAGCTATGCTTTTGCCTGACAACCCGTGAAGAAACATAAGCAGGGACGGAGAAGGGGTGGGTGTGTGCAGGGAGAGGGACAGGGACATGGGCAGATTTCGTCCCCAAAACACAAGAGGTAAAAAGTACTAAGAACAAAAAAAAATTGAACATATGATAACTTCCATTTTCTCTCTGTCTTTCGTCTTCGTGTGGCTGCCAGGCCAGTGGATTGAGATCGTGACCTTCTTGTCAACAACCGCAAGTGCGGAGGACAGGTCCTCACAGTGGTGATTTATCCTCCCAAAATGGGGCATGGCCGCCATGGCGTAGTTGAACCACCACTGCTGTGAGACCTGTTGCTTTCAACCGGAAAAAAAAAAAAAAATCTGCTTGCACATTAATCGAACTGCAGGTCTCCTGGCCACTACACTGAAAGCACGGCCTCCTTGTCCACGACCACAAATCTCAGATAAGAAAGATGGTGTTCGCCGGCGGGTAAGCATGAACGCTTCGCGGCGGTTGTGTCACCAGAGGCCGAGTGTCCTCACAGTGGTGATGATTTAACTAAGGCCTGGACCACTTTGCACCTAACCCAAGAGACTTGATTTTGCGCCTTCCATGGGACAATGGCCTTTTCTTTTTGTGTATGCTTGTTGCCAGATGAATCATATTCTGAACAGTTGTATTTCTGAGGTGCTTCTATGGGCGAAAAATAGTCTGGCCTATGTCTACCTGCCTGTTCCTCTCCAATTGACAGAGCATCTGTGAGTAAATTGTGTTGTCCCTGTGCATAAGACTAATCCATACAAAATTTCCATCCTGTTCTGCAGATTCCTATTGCATTTGTGTCTGGCTTATCAACTCTGGACAACTTGAAGAGGACGCTCACGTTTCTGAAACCTGTTTTTGAGATGTAAGATCCCTACTCCTGCGCACTGCAGTGGAGCCCATATCCTTTCCACACCCGCACACACCTCGACATCCCCCCTTTGGCAGCCAATCGAAAATGTGTACATTGTGGAAGACGGCGTCTCATGGAAAAATGCTACCTTCTTCCCCCTAATACAACGTATGGTCATTATAGTTGTATGTTATGATTCTGGTTGTTTGTTGTCTGAAGAGCAACACTCACTCACATGGACTCCCAGGTATGCCCATATACGCAGAAGGAAGGGGAGAGGATCGGAGTATCACACCGCGCAGGGAGAGATAAACACAGCGGAAGACTTGACCATGCGATATGACAGGGTACACCAGAAGTGCAATTCACTCCACTCAATCCTCACAACCAGTCATAAAGAAAAGCCGAGTAGATCACATCCAGGAAACAATGAAACGATGATAGTCCAAACCCAGTATTACACTGTTTATTAAACTCAGAGTCTCAAATTGTCAGAAGAACCTCAGACCTACAGTGCGCTGCTCAGAAATGAGCAGCGCTTCACTCCCCAACCCTGAGTAACCACTCGTGACACCCCTGAGCCCCTGAAACATCAAGCGCCACCCAGATACAGCCTCCAAAGGGAAGCGCCACCCTGAAACAGGCCTCTGAGGCCAAGCGCCACTCAGAGGATGAAGAAGAAGACCAGCGCCACAGTATCTGATGATGACGAAGTGTCGGAAGACTTCCCGGATGGAAGTCTGCAGCAGCGCCACCAAATCCTGACAAGATGACCTCTGAGGAAGAAGCTGCAGCTATGGCTGCAGCGCCACAGCCCTGGAACCCCACTCCGGAGGAGGGTCCAGCAGGGCACCAACTTCTCTCGTCTCCAGCAGACCTCGATAACCCAGACCTCTGACAGCCCTGCGTACTGACAGAGTACAGCGCAGGTCCCAGCTATGGCCGGCTCTCCAATGGTCTGGCTATGTTTGTTTCCCACAACGCTGAGCTGTAGCGCAGCAGCAATGTACTCGGTACCAACTGCCAAAAGCCCTGAACCGATGTGCCCGTCCTATCTATAGTCTAAACTAGCCTAGACTCGACCTAGACCGGACTGACTGACCGACCGGTACCGATTCTGTTTCGGCCTCTAGTGCCTCTCCCCACCCAGCTATAGGCTATAGGACCGTCTATCAGCTTAGGCCTATAGGCCCTGGCTGTCCTAGGGGTAGCCCGGGTCTGTTATTCGCAGTTAGGGTAGCTGTAGGAAATTCAGTTAGTACGGGCCTTTATTTTCCCGAATTTGCAGATATGTCCCTCGCGAAATTTCCTTACAGGCAGGTCACTCGGTTAGCCCTCAGCCAAACAAAATTACGAATATGTCCTACCTATAGTACAGCCTCTACAGAGAAAGGCTACAGGCGACCAGAAAACAGCAAGTCATTGCATGTATTTGAGGCATCTGCAAGGAACATGAGTATGGACGAAGCACAGAAATCCGGAATGCAAAATCACACTGAAGTCCAAGTATTCAAAGCCAAAGCAGATAGCACATGGAACCGAGTAACCATCCCATTGTGTGCCCACCAGGGCAACACCAACAGCATAACCCAAATGTAGCTCACTCTTGTGAATGGCGCCAGGCGCCCTATCTACTCTACAGCCTATCCTACAACTACAGCAATGAACAGCAACCAGACAACTTGACTACCAGCGAGTGATGATGTCAACACCAATGC